ATAGTGAATTTTATACACTGTTTTTTCAAGATATGAATAAAAAATAATGAATTTTATATACCGTTTTTTTCAAGATATAGATAAAAAAATTGTCAATTTTATATACTGTTTTTTTTTTTTCAAGATATGGATAAAAATATTGGATTTTATAAATTGTTTTTTCAAGATTTAACATGAGCAAAAAAAAACTCACACATTTGGACGAAGAAAATAAAAACCCAGAAAGAAGTCAAAATCTGAAAATAAAAAGCAAAATTGGTTCAAGGGCCTCCTGCCCTCCCACTTATCTATCATACCCCAGAATCTAAGATACAGAGGCCCAAACTACTACATCTCAATTTTCATAAGGTAGTATTCATATAGAATACAAATTATATTGTAACCTAATGATGTACAATAATCGACCTTATACAATATATGTGAAGAATTCAACTAGAAAAACTGAAAATAAATACAATGTATCTAAATACATATTAAATAAATCAACAATTTTTTAACTGTAGTTTTTAACATCAACTTGAGATTTTTCTTCTTAAAAGTTAATGAATTTTAACACCTTCAACATTATGGATTTTGTAATCTCAAACGAAAACTTGTTGCTACTTTTATGATGACAACGTACTCGCTTGATACTTGGTCAATGCCAACGTAGTAGAAACTTTGTAATCGCAAATAGAATTATCTGAACAATACTGGTGTCAGACGTCTATCGAATAAAACTAGTACTAATAGTACTTCGTATAGTGAATAGAGTAGAGAATAGCAATTCGAATAGTAATTGAGGATAGACTAGAGAAAGCGACTTCCTCCGTATATGAGTTTCCTCTGTGGTCACGTGATCTAATTAGTTCCATAATGAAATCGCCTGTGTTTGATTCACTGGCGATCTAGGTTCAAACACAAGTGTCGGCAGCGACATTTTATTCCTATATATAACGATGGATAAGAATTAGTGAATTTTATATAGAGTTTTTTTTGTTTTTTTTTTTCGAAACTTAGCAAAACAAATTCTCGGATTTGGACGGGAAAAAAAGACCCTGGAATGACGTCAAAATCCATTTTTCATCCTTTTAATAGCCAGTTGGTCTTTGTAATGTAGGTAGAAAAAATGCATTTATAAGATAGCGAGAGTCACAAACAAATGAGGCTTTCCCCCCCCCCTCGGTCGGAAGGGTTACGAGGTAGTACGCACCGGCCCTGATTATGGGATATCCAGACTCAAATTCACTGCAGCATTAATGGTTTTTTGGGGTTAGCTTGTTAACCATTACACCATGGCAATCCTTTTTTTTTTTATCTATAATCATTTTTTTTACGCATCACCTTTTGACCTTATTTTTATCATATTTAACACCAGAGTCTATTACCCAGCCAAGTCTTACTTCGCCTATAAAATAGTATCTACGAAGGCGAGTTGGTTGAAAGATGAGGTTTTTATTGGTAGCTAACAAGTCAAGCGTAAACGGAGAATAATTCACAGTGCTAAAAAATGAAGAAAAAAAAAAGAAAAGGCCACTGTTTTCTTCCCGACTTTTTCATTTTTCCTTATTTACGCCATTTTTTTTTTTTTTTTTGTATATTTTGCTTTCATTTTTCTTTTCTTATTCAGTTTTTTGTTTTATTTTTGTATTTAAGCTTGGCTAATTTTGGTAAAGGCGATGTATGAGATTATTGTATGGACGTGAATATTTATTTACAAAGTTTTACTTTGTATGGTACAAGATAATAAACGCTGCGCGCTCAGTAGAAATGAAACTATCGTCCGGGTCACACACCTTCTCAGTTTTACGAAAGAGGAGTAGAGGTTCATCCCTTGTTTCCTGTTCAGGATTAGATCTCCGCTTCTTTCTAAAGCAGTGATTCTCAACTAGCGTTCAGCGGGATCCTCTTAAGTGTGCCGTGAAATATTATCGTGGTATATATATATATATATATATATATATATATATATATATATATATATATATATATATATATATATATTTTTATTGTATATTATCATCCTAACACCGAAATTCCAATGCTTCAAAACAGAAACTTCAATTTAAATACAATCATAAAAATTAAACTAAAAATACAAATTCAACTTAAAATACAAAGTTCCGTTCCATTATCAAGCGATGCTTAGCATCGCTTGATAATGGAACGAAACTTTGTATTTTAAGTTGAATTTTTATCCTTGAATTTGAATTGAAGTTTCTGTTTTGAAACATGGGAATTTCGGTGTTGCGATGATAATATATTTTAAAAAAACAATTATAATATTATGCTCTACCATTGTATAGAGCACTGTTTTTTAAAACTAAAAATAAATGCTAAGAACTCTGAATTATAAATCTTATTGTTCTTTCCTATGATTTTAATATATATATATATATATATATATATATATATATATATATATATATATATATATATATATATATATTAAGAAATGGACAAGGTCCGACAATTTATTTATTAAAGACATTTTTTATGTTTAACGTTGTTATTTATAGATACAAGTATTTAAGCAAATGTTTGTTTATGATAAACAGTATTAAATAACATTTACCGGCCTGAATGTCGAGAAATTTCATAGAAAATATTCGTTCTTTGACAGGATTCGAACCTGCATCCTATACGGAACCGTCATATGTGGCCGAGCGGTCAAGGCACGTCAGCGTATATGACGGTTCCGTATAGGATGCAGGTTCGAATCCTGTCAAAGAACGAATATTTTCTATGAAAATTTCTCGGACATTCAGGCCGGTAAATGTTATTTAATACTGTTTATCATTGTATTCAACATTCTTAGTTCAATTCAAAATTTTTACAAAGTTATGTTGAAATATGTAATAATATTGCATTATTGAATTAGTAATAATATTATGTATTATTGAGTTGTGTAATAATATGTGTTATTGAATTGTGCAATAATATTGTGTGTTATTGAATTATGTATTAATGTTATGTGTTATTGAATTATGTATTAATATTAGGTATTTTTGAATTATGTAATAATATGTCTTATTGAATTATGTAATAATAGTATGTCTTATTGAATTACGTATTAACATTATGTTATTGAATTGTGTAATAATATTATGTGTTATTAAATTATGTATTAATGTCATGTGTTATTGAATTATGCATTAATATTATGTATTATTGAATTATGTAATATTATTATGTATTATTGAATTATGCATTAATATTGTTTTCGCTATACAGCATTAAGCATTTGATTTTTTTATTCTAATTTTTTAAAAGTATATTACTCTGAAAATTTTGCTAAGTTCGCCGTGACATTTTTAGTCTTAATTATGCCGTTGCTTAAAAAGGGTGAGAAATACTGTTCTAAAGTCGACTTCAACTCTATTCTTCTCCTCCTTTTCTACTCTAAGATAACTCCATACAGTAACGCTCTACCTTGAATGGCTCTTGGGACTTGTACTGGTTAAACATTAGTAAGAAAAATATCCCTTTAAGTGGTAAAAGTCTATTGAAATGAGCTATTGATATTTACCATGCTTACCTAAGTCGGGAACAAAGCCATAAAAACTAACGTCGGATTTTTTCCCATCTCCGATTCAACAGGTCATATAATAATAACAGTGCAAATTGTTTTTTTTAACGTTATATCTCATTAAAGCGTAGACTGTCTAGGCTCTCCACAGCTTCCATTTCTTTAATATTACACAATTGGGAAAGTTATTTTCTTCAGGGTTTGTAATTTAGATTTAGTCCTTCTGCTGGATTTGCTCTCAATCAAGGTTAGAAAGACCAGTCAACACAGCCATTTTTATCATACACGTTGGGTCCTGTCACTGGATCTAACCATGCCTTTATCCACTGTGTCCTTCAATACGTAGTTAAGGTAGTGGAGAACATGGAGAGATGAATTAACAGGAGATAACTGATAAATGACATCCATTAGACATGGCACGTGGAACTAGAACAGTCTGCACCAGCGAGCGAAATAAAGGGTTCGAAACGTTGTGATAAATATGGCAACAAAGATGAGGATAATAGTCTGAATAATGTAAATAAGACCTCATCTCAGAAATATAGACAGATAAAGCAGTGGGTTAATTTGTAAGGCTTGTTTCACTAAATGATTATTAACTAAAAATTAAATTCATACAAACTAAACAAGATAATTTCTGGGTTTAAATAAGCCCACAAAGGGTTGATAAACCGTAGAAAATTGATCGATCAACAGAAATGTGTCCATACTTTTCCCAGGGGTATTTTTGAGAAAGTGAATGTAGCCAACACGAACTGGAGGCAGAGTGGGGTAATGGATAGCGGCTTGGATTGAGGAATCGGAGAGCAGAGTTCGAATTCCAGTTGAATCCATTACATTCACTTACGTGCTATACCCTTGGGAAAGGTTTGAATCCTCTTCTCCCTCCAGCTATGGGTAAATAGCAGGACAAACTGGGTTCTATAGCCTTGGATGGCAACTGGTCTAGGAGAAGGAAAACTCTGAATTCAAAACCTGCGGAGGGTCGTTTGGGGACCTTGTGGTACGTAGTGCACCAGGTCTCTTTATTCGGCCCTTCAAAAAGTGTGGATATTCCTGCACAAAACCTTCACCACTATAATCAAATCTCATGTGCTATACATGCGGGTTGGGGGCCGCTTGTGATTTCCAAATTCCCATGAAACTCCAATATTGGAGCCGGCTCAACCCACCCCGCGTGAATGCCGTTACAAGAACAAGAGAGAGAAGAAACTCGAACTCACCTCGCCAATTCCTCGTAACGAAACGCTAACATACGGTTCATCCAATTATATATATATTTTTTTACAAAGACAAGCTTAATCCGCTATAAGCCTTTAAATGTATGCCTCTAGCAAGGATCAAATGCCAAGATATGGTAAAGGGCGGCCCAGCTTTTAACAAAAGAGTGATAAGTGGCTTTGTTTTTTAAAGTCGAGCTTAAAATATTGAATCTTTTTCTTTTTTCCCCCTACATTGTTTGGCAACGGAGACCCAAACGATGGCAGGTTACCGGTCAGAATGTGACAGGGAGACTTTATTTCTTCTTTGTTCCCGCTTTCTCCGTGATGCTCCAT